AGAGTGGCACTGCCCAGCTCCTTCCCTGCGAACTGCTCTTAGCATTTTAGCATCAACCTGTCAGAACTTTGAACTGTGTCTGTGAGCATTTGCGTTTTTTCTCAATTTATTCTGTGCATCCATTAGCAAGATGTGTCCTAAAGTATCAGAAAAGTCTGAGAGCTCATAAGGATGTTTGTTCTGCTTAGCGTAAAACTGGACGTGGTTCTGCTAGTATCAAAGTAGCCTCTTTTAGTCGGCATTCAGTAATGCATAAAGTGGGAAGTCTATTGCTTGAGTGGATTGATGGGTGTACAAAGCATCATGTGTATTTATCACATCATTCCTTCTGTTAACACTATATGTTAGTGTTATTTTGACTTTTGTGTGTTATTTGGTATGATTTGGTTGGTTACTATTTTGGATCTGGGAACAAAAATTTTTCCATATAAACTAATAGTAATTGCTTTTTCACTTTTCACCACTTATGCTTACAAAAGGTTGCACAGAAATGCTCTACTTTGGGACACCTGTATTTGCCCCAGAAACTGTTAATTCCAAACACACTTTTATATTTTAATTGACAGTGTTAATCTTGACTCTGTCCATCCTGTATCTCCAAGTAACTGGAGTAAGTGCTCCAGAGCACGATGAGATCAGTTATAGAAAAAGAACTATGCATTTATGATTAACTGTGGAGGTGGGGCACATTATGGTGTATACATTTTCATACCCAACTGTATGCATAGAGGATAGTAGATGAAGTCTTTAAGGAAAATAGAAATGAGAAAAATAGTCAAATAACGATAGGCATTACATAAAGAAAGGATTCAGGAGGGAAGGATCTATTTTGTAATCGGGAAAACAAAAGCTGGTTTATCAATTTAAATTGAGAAGTAGGTTAAACATTTCAGGATTTATTCGTGTATACATGCAAATAAAAAAGCAAACTGATGGCCACCTCCACCACCACAACCATGTATTATTATACGTGTACAAAGTTAGATCAAAGTGGTAGCTAATAATATTACATTCTGCAGTTGTTCAAGGCTGACAGTTGAGAAAGTTTGATGACAGAGGATAAAAATAACAGTTGTTTGGGCATAAATGGAAGTTTCTTTTCATTGAACTATGTGAATGTGCCTCATGTCACCCACACCGATAGGAACCTAAGAAAATAATTTGGCTACATTAACAAGTGTTTACCACCTCATCAAATTATATTTTACTGAAATAAAAAATAACTATTGTAAACATGAGAACAAGTTGAAGTAATGATAAAATAACCAATAACTAGAGTGCTTAATGCTAATCCCAGTTTTACCATCTAGTAAATAATGTGCATAACTTTTTTTCAAGTAGTTTTTCACAGTTTTAAACAAAGCACTTGACAAAAGTTAGTTCATAGCAATTCAGAGGTAGATGCAGAAGCAGAAATGCTTATAGTTCAAATGTGCTCTGTTGACAAGGAGACTACAGCCTGTTTACTTTTTTTATTTAAAAAAAATGTGGAATCTTTAGCTCCCAGCTTGACAGTAAGTTACAAAAAGCAGAAGGTACCTTAATGTTTCCTCTGGAGGGTATTATCACTGCACTCCAGTATCAACAGCGGGTAGAAACACATGTGTTCTATCATACTTTGACCTTTACACTTCAAGTCAAAAGAATCCTCAGCAAGGTCAATTTTCCCATCCAGGGTGCACTTTGTGTAGATGTGAAAAAACGAAACGAAACATTTTCACAGAACTGGATTTGAGAATTTCATTGTTATCTGAATAAAATATATTTATTTCTATGCTGTGACTTTGCAAGAAAACAAAGGCAGGAGAGCCATTTCCTCAAAGGCTAAAAGAAGGCTTTACCACTACCACCAGTACTTGCCAGGGGATTTACAAAGCATCTTGAGGCACAAAGTTAGTATGCGAGATGAGCCAGGCTCAGAGGTTAATACAGAGGAAAAGGTGGGCATGTTCACACCTCCCCCCACTTTTCCCAGCCAGTACAAAAAGTACTTCAGAAAGTAACTCTTAGTGGTCAGGTAATGATTTATTTTCTTCAATGTTCATGCTTGGGTTTGTCTATTTCCATTATGATAGTAAGGGTTGGAATTGGAATTTAAAAGCCTTGGGGGAAGAGCTGTTTTTGTAATTTAGCTAGGATGTCCTTGTCTTAGAGTTTCCCATTGCATCAGTCCCTTAACCCGGTATGATAGCCATGATAGTGCTCTGCCTTTTAGATAAAATGCAGGACTAAAGAAGGACATGACCATTGGTGCTAATTAAAGATTCCTTGCTATGTTGACAAGGGTAGGGGCGTTAAGACTCCTGTCTACTGCCTAAATTCTAAATCAGGAGATTACATTCTGCTTTCCTAAATTCCCCTAGCAGAAGCAGCCATCCATGGTATCCTATTTGGCTTCCTGTGCTAAACTGTAATGTGATGTCATTAAATGGCACTGGTTTTCTATTCTAGAACTGTTCCCTTCTTGGTGGAGTGGTGAGTTAAATTGGTACCTATTGTCTAATATTGTATTTGATCCAGTTTCAAAAAAATCAAAAGGTAGCCTCTGCTAGTTAAGGATGAAGTGTAAAATAAAACACCCTAAGACTGTACCAGTTGTTGTGGAGCATTTTTTTTTTAAATAAAGCATGAATTTCAGCCCTGGCCAGTGTGGCTCAATATGTTGGAGCATTGTATCATATCCAAAATGTTGCAGGTTTGATTCCCGCTCAGGGCACATACCTAGGTTGCAGGTTTGGTCCCAGGTACCAGGCATACAACCCCCGTTTGGGGTGCTTACAGGAGGCAACCAATTGATGCTTCACTCTTGAATCAATGCTTTTCTCTCTCCCTTCCTCTCTCTCTAAAAGCAATAAAAAAAAGTCCCCAGGTGAGGATTTAAAAAAAAACAACAACAACAACATGAATTTCATGTTGTTTGTTTGTTTGTTTTTAGTTTGTGAAACATTTTTAAAAACCAATCTGCTTTCTCTTCTGCAACACAGACAAAAAGGAATTAATGTGTTTTTTTTTCTTTTTTACTCTGCTAATTCTTGGCAATGAATTGTTATTTGCCTCAACCAGGATAGTTCTAATAGTGATGATAAGATTTGAGAGGCTGAGATAACATATTAGAAACCAGTTAATCCATCTCTATTGCCTTCAGGTTGCATGTAACCATGCTACATTTAATCTATTTCATAAAATCTTTTTAAAAGGAGAACCTTACCTTACCTTGAAACATATTTTAGTGTTTCTCAATCTTTCCATAAACACTAAGTTCTTATTTTTGTTTAACTTCTATTCCCCTACTGTAGTTTAATGTCACCATCTTTTACTAACTCTGCTGTCATATAACAAGAGGCAGTTTGCAGAATGGCATGGTTTTTGGAATCACACATACCTGCATTCAAATCCTGGCTCTGTCACTTTCTAGGTGTGTGATATTGAACAAGTTGCTTCTAAGGTTCAATTTACTCATCTGTAAATGAGCAACCTCAGAGGAGAGTTACTGGGAACATCAAATAACATAATGTATTATTTTGAAGGACTATGGGTAAGACGAGGCATGGTACTCAGCACTCAAAAAGTGCTCAATAAATATTAGCTATTTATCTGTTATGTACCCAGATTTAAGTTAATTCATAAAGTCTTTCTGAATGAAAAGGACCCTTCCTGGATGTCAATATAAGTACAGTGTCATGCACATAGTATGGCACAGAGGCTCAATATTTATTGAATAAATAAACATTTTTTTCCCTAAGTGGAATAAGCAGCCCTCAGCTGTTTGCAAGATCCCACACATTTAGCTCAAAAGTGACTAAATCAATCAATTCTCTAATGTCTGAACTTTGTCTAGATGTTTCGGCATGTTGTAGAGACAATGCCAATAACTTATACTTTCTGTTTCTATCAGATTCATTTCTATGAATTTTAACATTTTATTATTGTCTTAGGTGCTCAGAATAGGACTAACAATCATGACTCTTCATCCATCCAAGCTTTCTTTGAGAATTTCTAAAAATGAATACTAAGAACTGCCTAATAATACACCTGAACAAAATCTTTCAACTTGTGAGTCATTACACTACCTGCCCTATTTACCTGTAAGATCTGTGCTGACCAAAGACGTGTTTCTAATTGCTTTGTTTCCAAGCCAAACACACCCCCACCCCCCCACCTCCCCACCCCCCCAATAATCCACCACCGCAGGTTCCAGGCATAATTAACATCTTTGAATCAGTGAGGTGTTAGTTAGGACTTTACGTTTTGCTTTTAAACATTTTTCACGGGTCAAGGAGGAACATTTGGGAGAACAAGGAATGTATATATAGATTCAATTGCGCTTGCATATTTGTCCATAAGGAAACAACATTGCTCTTTTACCATAATCTCGGAAAACGCCTGGTGCGTGTTTAGGTTGGCATTAAAGCCATCGCCCTGTGGCCATCTCCCCGATACTTTGTACGTACTTTATAGGAACGGTCTCAGGTGTGGAGTTCTGAGCACCTGCATACTCACACTCCAGCAGTTCAGCAACCAGCGTACTTGAGGCCGGTGGTTCAGGTTCCACGTAACTCGGCTCAAGTGTCACTAACACTATGGGCAGCTCCGCTCAACCAGCTGTGCTTGGGGACTTGGGTACTTACTTCGGACTTTCTTCTCTCCCGCCGCCCCCTCCCCCGCCCCTAACTATATTCCCTTTTCCTCCTTCCTCTCGGGGAGTGCCCACCTCCTCCCTTCGCGCCCACTCTTCTCTTTCTCCTTGTTTCCTTCTTCCTTTCCATTGGGCTTCCCGTCTTTTATCCTCCGCGGGCCCCAAGGCCGAGGCTACGGATTAGGAGGCGCGAGGCCCGCGGGACTGGCGCGAAGGGCAGAGCCGTGAAAGCATGGGGCGCGCGCCGAGGCTGGGGTGCACACTGGGCCGCCTCGTGGCCCGGCCGCCGGGCCCGGAGCGGCGCGCGCGCCTCGCGAGCTCCTGGCGCGCCCCCGGCGGCCGGGGCCGCAGCGTGCTCGCCCCCGCCGCCAGCTCGCCTCACTTATGGGTCGGAAACGGTGCGTGGGGGAGACTGTTCCAAGATGGCGGCGGGTTGCTGCGGGGTGAAGAAGCAGAAACTGTCCAGTTCGCCCCCCTCCGGCTCTGGTGGCGGTGGTGGCGCCTCCTCCTCCTCCCACTGCAGCGGAGAGAGCCAGTGTCGAGCTGGGGAGCTGGGACTAGGAAGCGTCGGTACGCGGCTCAACGGGCTGGGAGGTCTCACTGGGGGAGGTAGCGGCAGCGGCTGTACCCTCTCTCCCCCCCAGGGCTGCGGCGGTGGCGGGGGGATTTCCCTGTCGCCACCTCCGAGCTGCGGAGTGGGGACCCTACTTTCCACTCCGGCCGCCGCCACCTCTTCCTCGCCCTCCTCGTCGTCCGCCGCCTCGTCCTCATCGCCCAGCTCCCGGAAGATGGTGGTGTCAGCGGAGATGTGCTGCTTTTGCTTCGATGTGCTCTACTGTCACCTGTACGGATACCAGCAGCCCCGGACCCCCCGGTTCACCAACGAGCCCTAGTGAGTACCGCGTCCTCCGCCGCCCTCTCCCTCGCGCTCGGGATGGGGCTCATAGTTGAGGTAAAGTACGAGTCCGCCTCCCCGCCGGGGGCTGCTCCTGCCCTTCTCGCTACCCCCGTCCCTGGTGCCACCAGACCTAAGTCAGGGCACCCCGCGCTTTCTGCCCTCCGAGGAAAGCGCCCCACACTTGGAGCAGGGTGCTGCTGCAAGAGATGGCTCGCTGGCTCTCAGAGGTGTTCGCTTTCTTTTTGCAGTAACTTTGAGGAGTTCTGACCTTTTCCTTCTCTTTCCACATCCCGCGTCCCCACCGCTTGGGTTTTCAAGATCTGGATTACTCAAGGTGTTGACCTCTTCTCACTTTGGTTTCCATTAACCCCGGTGAAAGCCCCGCCAGTATTCCCGCCTTGCCCAGCGACTTACTGTCCCATTGCAGGGTGAAAAATAGCAACTACCCAACTTCTGTTAGTGATGGAACTTAGCACCGGAGCTAAGTTCGGGTTTCCTTGTGTGCCGGGGAGGGAGGAGGTTTTTTAAAAACATTTCCCCTTGCCACCTATTTTTATCCGCGAACAAACCCATTAAAACATGTTCCTAGTGAAGCACACCTCCAGCTCTCTAACATTTGAGGAGACCTTTTTTTTTTTTTTTCCTTCATTCCACCGTCTGGGTAAAAGCTCATTCAAAGAGAGCTGTCCCCATAGAACCACTGTCATTTTGTACATTAAGTGTGCATTCGCTTTTGTGTAGATTTCCCTTTTAAGAAATCAATGTTAGACTTGATGATTTCAGAAATAGGTGATCGCCACAGTGTGTAGGAATTTTTATGGTTTCTTTTGGTTTTGTACTTTTAGCTATTTTATCCTTCAAGTATGCGGTTGAAATTGTTTAAAATAGCACTGTCACAACTAAAAGCTAGGTTAATTCTGATCCCTGTCCATTTGGATGTGTGGGAGATGGGGCATATGTTTTTTTTTTTTTTTTTTTTTTACGTGTAAGGTTAGTGTAGCCTAACTTTTTGAATTAAATGCTAGACAGAATGTAAAGCCCAAGGAGGGGCAGAACGACAAAGAGGGCGACTGTTTTTATTATGAGTACTTAGCATCAACAAGAAAAATAATAGAGAAAAATTTCAGAGAAATTTATAGAGAAAAGCACCAACCCTTTTGCTATCTAAGACAAGTGCCCCTTTTCCCCATATCATAAATTCCTGAACCGATGTTCTTTATAACTGCTTCTTTTCACTTTGTGACATTAGGGAATTATACGACAGTTGAGTAAGTACAAACACTTATGCCTAGACTAAAAATATTAAATTAATATGTAAAGTGGAAATTGCAATAAAGTGTCCTAGAAATTGTAATTTTGTATTGTTTGTTTTCTTTGGCTTTGAGGCTTTAAATGTATTTAATTTTGTATGTCTCTTCTGAGGTCTGTGCATTTTCTTTCAGACTTTGTTCATCTTTGGGCATTGGTTCATAAGAAATGCATGAAATGGCATCCAGACTGACACTGTCAAATAAATTCAATGTCTTTATAAATATCATAGTTTTAATTCTAAGAGCTTAAATGCTAAAACCACACATTTACTTTGCCAGTTTGTTCTTTGGTTAAGAAGTAAAATTCATTTTGAAAAGACTGCCACGTAAAAAAAATTACGAAATATTTATTAGCATGAGTCACTTATTTGTGACTTTTTTGCCTTCTCTTGGGTGTCTATGATGTATTAGAGCCAGTCTTGGGATGATACATAGGTTGGCTCTGTAAAGTCATGGGACTGCAAAAATCCACTGCTGTGTAGTTACATGAGTTTGGCAAAGGCTATTTTACTATTCACGCTCCATTGCTCCAAAGCATATGAGAACACACTTTCAGGAGGTGCTATTTTCACACATTTTAAAGTGAGTTTGAGTTAACTGAGTGACTGTAACAAGAATTTTAGAAGTGTGCTTGACCAGTTCATATACAAAATGCTATTGAAAGTGTAATTTCACAGTGGCTACTTTGAACACATACTCAGGTATTGTTTCTCTTCTAATACCCCATCCACTGGACTTCTTTTTTATGAAATTAAACAGATAAAATATAATACACTTTTGATTACTGTGGATAAGTTGAAATGGAAGAATAGTAACTATTATCATTTAGCTGTCTTTGAATGTGTCGTGTATTCTACAGAACGACTAATTTAGAAAAGACACTGAACATGACCAAGGGGAGGATGAAAGTTCACTTAAGTGCAAGGAGGACTGCATCTTATTTTCATTTATCTTCAAGTCATTTTTGAAGTGTACTGTGGGAAATTCAGGAAACTTGCTTAAAAGCAGTGTTTGATTATGGGAGTGAAATAACTATAACCACTTGACTGTGCCTTAGTAACCACCATTCATGTTTTTGTTTTACATACAAGGGGCAAAGTAGGTTTCCAGTTTTTCATATGGAAAACAATACAATAATTAATAAATAATGAGAGAATAAACTCTGCCTCACGTACTGACAATTTGTAAACTACTTTTGCCTCCCCCTGTAGTTAACAGCGTTGTGTACTTATTAGTCTGGCTTTGTGCTGGGTGCTCTAAGACATAAATAGACATATTGCTTGTTTTCCCCTTAGAGTTATTAGTATCACGTCATGAGCAGTGATGTTTCAGGTCCTGTTCTTGTGCACCAGAAGACGTGCTTTCAACAGTTTGAGATTCTCTTGTATAAAAGCACACCTTCTCATCCTTTCCCAGGACCTTACTGTCAGAAAGTGTCCGTAACTGGTGAAATCTGCCTTTTATAGATTTAGAAGTCCTCGATTCATCAGTTTTCCTTCCGTTCTGAAAGGTTTTGAGAAACTTCCAGCGATCTATCTGGCTCAGGTTTGGGGGATGGATGGGGATGTCAGTATATGAACAGGCTGTATGGATAGAAATTCTTCACCATTGCTGCTGTTTTCTTGGGTCACCTACCTCGCTGCAGAGAGGTAGCAGTAGCTAGAGCTTGGGAGGATGGTAGAAACTTGTTTAATGGAAGATAGGTAACATTTGTGCATTACTAAACCCTTAGTTTCAGTTGTACAGTTGTAACAGACACATTTGCCCACAGAAATAATGTTCAAGACATGATAAAAATGTGACTTGAACTGCACTTAACTATTCCAAGTCATTTCTCCTGGATTTATATGTGGGAATCCAGTTAGCCATGTTACAGGAAACCATTTGCTACTATAAAGGGATCCACTGTGCCTGCCAGGTGTTGAGCCAGTTAGACTGCAGAGCAGTCATTCTCAACCTTGGCTGCACTTTGAATCCCTGGGGAATTATTAAAAATATGGATGCCTGGGTTCCAACCTCAGAAATTCTGGTTTAATTGGACTTGGATGGGGCCTGGGCATCAGGATTATTAAAAGCTCCCCAGGTGATTTTAATGTGCAGCTGAAGCGGAATACTGGTTGTATTTGACTAAGTCTTTCTCCAGAGATTTGAATTAATTTTGTCTGGGGTGGTGCCTGGGAACCCGTATTTTATGAGCACCCTGGGTAATTTTGTTAAATAGCTGACTTGGGAAACACTTGCAGTATAGTCTGCAGAAGACATCACCTGGGAACTTGTTGGAAATGGTGGCTTTAAGGCCCCACTTCAGACCTGCTGAGTTAGAATCTGCATTTTAACAAGTTCCCCTGATGATTCTTACGCACATTAAAGTTTGAGGAGGAGTGGTTCTTGAACACACATCATAATCTCCTGTAGTGCTTGTTAAAACACAAATTGCTGGGCCCCATTCCCAGAGTTTCTGATTCAGTGGGTCTGGGGTGGGGCAGTGAATTTGCATTTCTAACAAGTTCCCTGGTGGTGATGCTGCTACAGTTCCCAGGACCATAAGTGAGCCCCTCTGGGTTAGAGAGTAGTGAGGACCTGAATACTACTTGAGCCACTATAAGGGAATGGCAGTTTTCAGTGCCAGTGTACAGTCTAAAACTTCCGGCTTCCATGTCACTGTCTTTACCATCTTCTTTCTGGTTTAGCACCAGGAAGATTGAATGCTGCCTTGATCATAACAAGAGTCCAAGGTTCTTGGGATGGTTTGAGGAGAGGGGAGAGTGACTCTTGAAAACCTGTAGCTTGATTTTATATATATATTTTTAGAGATTTTGTTAAATATGAAGGGCACATTTTAGGCACATTTTAGGAGTTAAAAACAGCTTCTGTAAGATATGATATCTTACAGTGAGCTGTATTGATTTTAATAAGTAAAGCCCCCTTCTGTTACCATAAAAAAAGCTTTGATGATTAGCTTACTAAATAACCTATTGTGATAAGATTTTAAAACCTTTACTTACACTTATGCTTGCTGGATTGCATTTTAAAAATTTCCCCTATTAACAGAGAAATATAAAAGGACCCTGGTAAGGCACTGGGATTGTTCAGTTTTATATATTTAAAGCTGTGTTGCATGTCATGCCTCGCAAACTTTGAATTTTAATCTTCTTACCACCTCTGAAGTTAACACAATGCTACATTTTGTTTAGACCATAGCACATAAAAGATACTTTACTATTAAACATCAATAAGTGTGGTTTTCCATTACAGTGAATTATTATTATTATTTTTATTATTTTACAAATCTCCTGGCGATGCAGATTTTAAGACAGTCTGATCAGGTGTTTTGAACAGTTAACTCTTTCTTGTCTTGGCACAATAATCAAATTACAGTTTTTTAGCCTGCTTTGGAGGAATTACTTTGTGTTAGGGAGGTGAGACAGGCACTTGGTTTCACTGGAACAGTAACTATCCTATTGCACATTAGTAAAAAAAAAAAATGCCTTGATAATGCAGCTCAGGTCAAGGTGATACTAAATTAGCATTTTAAACACAGGCTATTACATTTCTATTATATCTTCTTTGATGAAAACTGACCAGACTAGCTGGAAGGTGTATCTGTCTATTGCAGATGATGCTACTAGGCCATTACAGTTTTCTTTATTCATTCTGGCCTAATGGTCATAATGTGTAGTTTTT